CACCCCCGCCCCCCAGCAAACAGCTGAAACTACAGGCACATGACACCATGCCCAGCTAATTTTTTTGTATTTTTTTTGGTAGAGATGGGGTTTTGCCATATTGCTCAGGCTGATCTGGAACTCCTGAGCTCAAACGATCTGCCTGCCTCAGCCTCCCAAGGTCCTAGGATTACAGGTGTGAACCACCATCTCTGGCCCATTAAAACTTTTATATCAGAAGACTTCAAATATATAAAGGTAGGGAAGATGGTGTAATGAACCCCAAAGAACCCATAACACAGAATCAACAAGTACTGAATCAAAGTCAACTTCATATCTATACCTCTTTCTACCCCACTCCTCAATTATTTTGAAGAAAATCCTAGGCATCATGTCATCTGTAAATATTTCAGTACGTATATCAAAAATAAGCACTGTCTTAGAAAATACAACTGATGTAGGTCGGGAGTCTCAATATATAAAAGAAGAAGAAGAGGAAGGGGGAAGAGAATGAGGAGGGGGACAGGGAGGGGAAGGAGAAGAATACAACTGAATTACTATTTATACACCTAAAAATACAAATGGTAATTCCTTAATATCATATATTCAGTTATAGTCAGTTGGTATTCAAATGTCCCCTGTTATCTGATATTTTTAAAGTTTTTTTCAGTCTATAAAATAAGGTTTGTACATTACAATTGGCTTGATATGTGTCTTAATTAGTGTACACATTTTTAGCCTTTGATACATATCTTCATACTGCTCTCAAGAATAGGAGACAGGCAAGGAAAGAGGAATTGGCCAAAGAAAAAGAATGGGCTGGGCATAGTGGCTCACGCCTGCAATCCTAGCACTTTGGGAGGATCACAAGGTCAGGAGTCTGAGACCAGCCTGACCAACACAGTGAAACCCCATCCCTACTAAAAATACAAAAATTAGCCGGGTGTGTTGGCATGCGCCTGTAATCCCAGCTACTCAGGAGGCTGAGGCACTATTCACTTGAACCCAGGAGGCAGAGGTTGCAGTGAGCTGAGATGGCGCCTTTGGATTCCAGCCTGGGAACAAAGCTAGAATCTTTCTTAAAAAAAAAAAAAACAATCACAGAAATTCAGTTGACAGATTACTAAAATTAAGATGGTAGCAGTGGCAGAGAGGGAAATGGCTTCAAAAGATATTAAAGAATTTAGTGATTAGTAAGCCATGAGGGGTGAGGGTGTTGAAAGAATCAAGGAAGACACTATTGTCCAGCATGAGCTCCTGGTTTGATAGTGATACTTATTTACTGAGATGGGGGAAACAGGAGGTGGGAATACATGGTAAATGGGAATGTATTTATTTTGGACAGACTGAGTTTGAGGTGCTTGTAAGACAGCTGGTTGACAGTGTTCAATAGACAGATGTGCCACTTTATAAGTCTGCAGAAAGATCTGAGCCTT